ACAAACCATAACGGGTACCCGATATTTTTTAAATCGGGTAATACCCGTAAAACCCGGGTATCCGGGTATCAAGAGCACTAGCAAATTACATTATAAAATATTATTGTTCTATTATATTTCAACGAAATTCTCATAGAATATGATTAGACAAAATTTAGTTAGTTGTTGTATAGAAATTGTTAGTTAAATTTGAAGTATCGTTTGTACATTTGTTAACATATACTTATATTATATATATAAACAAATATTTTATGTAAAGATATATATAGATAAATGATTAATTTACGGGCCAGGTGTGTAAATCAATGATAGCGCGCCTGAACACTAAGTCAATTTTTTAAATTCTAACACCTAAGTCTTAAAAATATGGAAGACTAGCTAAGTGCGTAGTGGTGTAATAGCTCGAACACTAATGGTCGGGATTGTCGGGCAAATGCTGTCGAATTCGGTAGTGTATGTTGTGTTTATGTGTGTATTAGGATGTATGAATGTAGGTGTGTATTAAAACAAATATAATATAACTCAATGAATAATGGTAACTAAATATTAATATGATATGTGGCCCTTCTGGCTTAATAGAATAAATATTATTAATTAATAATTTTATATTTATTATTATTTCATATACTTTAATTTACAAATTTATTAAATTTTTAAATTTTTAAATTAATTTATTTACCATATACCAGTACTCTAATTTTTAATTAATTATTATGTATCATGTAATAGAAACTTAAAAAAAAAATCATATCTGTGTTCTAATTTATATTTAGATAACTGACAGTCCTAAGTCTGTAAAAATGAGAAAGGAAATTTTTGTATGGGTCCACTAGAGTAGTACTTGTAAAATCGTGGGACCTAACTAGAGTACTACCTGAAAAAAACTGAAACCTAAAGTAGACTAAATAAGGGTCTTCGGAACTCAACTAGTAAACGCTGCTCTATATACAATAATACACAGGTATTACTTTGGAGAATTAATATATTTGTATAGTACAACCGGTTTCGAATTAAAAATGTATCATCAAGTTACACAGTCAATATAATCACGAGTAATTTACTAATGTTAAATTTAATTAAAAATTTTTTTTTATTTATATTAAATGTACAGCTTGTCGCTGCTTGTAAGACTCACCAAGATGCAAAAACATTTTAGTCTATTACCCGTTGAGTTAATAAGACGAAAAACCATAAAAAAATTACACATTATTTTTTCAAAAATCTTATTCAATGAAAAATATTTATTAAGATTTCAGCTAATCATACAGATTAATATATATATATGTTTTACATTTGTGTAAATGATCTGTATGTATAATAATAACATAATATGTGAGTTAAAAAAATAATAATACAATAATGTATAGGATGGGTAGTAAAAATTAAAATTTGAATATGTATTACATTTTATTGTATTATGATACCTCCCTAATTCGTTTTTTATAGAAATCCATCCAATAGTCAATTATTTAATCTTCAAATGAGCCCATAAAATAGCTTAGTGAGTTGTTAACGTAGAGAGATAATAGTCAATTCTTTTTCCGTGTGTTAGTGCATGTGTATATTGGGAAAGCCTCTTTTGATTCCAACAGATTAATTAGAGTCGCAATTAACCATGAGCTCAATAAGCGACGACTGCTGTTTATATATTTATGTATGTAGTATTTGTCTATTTTGTTATTCATCCAAAACAAACTATGAAGCATCTAATGAAATGATATGAGTGCATTAAATAAACTATACGATAAGATTAAAATCATATTAAAGGGAATAAGAAAATGTAATAAAACTGTAAATAAATAAACATTGGTAATTAAAAAACATTTATATAAATTGTAGTCTTTGGTAATAGGAAATAAGTTAATTTCGGACGTTAATTTGTGTTTTGTACAAATACATTTTTTTTTTAGCTTTACAAGTTTCAACGGTTCAATAGTTTCGTGTGTTTAGAACGAGAAGAAAAAAATTATGGTACATTATAATATTATCAGAAGTACGAATTATTACGATTGTCAAAGAAACGAAACATGTAGTTAAACCGTAGAAACGTTGCGTTACAGGAGGAGAGTAGTGTAATAATTTCATAATAGGCGTTATGGCAAATTCGCACGATTGCAAAAACAAAAACAAAATGAGTGAACACAACTCGAATAATACGCGTGCGTTAAACGTATGTAGTTACACAAAATGACCTAATAACATTCAAAATCGTGCCGCTGTTGTTACGTATTAACCGTTTTGTTAATCGTTCGCAGATAACCGTTAGGAAAGGTATTGCACTTATACATATTTATGAATATATTTCGTTTCGACGTGCGGTCGGTGTAACGATTGTTCATTATTCAATTACTACCCCCCCCCCCCCCCCCCCCGATATACGCGTACGCGCACCATAACATCGAGGTGAAGAATTGTATCGCGGTTCCATCCGACCGTACATTTGCAAGTGGCTCACGAAAACGATTGGACGATAAATATTTACGTTCATCCTTGAGCGTTTCGGTGAACATCGTCAACTGGTCGTGCGTGTCCTGTGACGTGACCGAAACGGAACGGGGGCCCAGGGCCGTTATCGGGACGGAATCCTATCCAGGCACAACAGACAGCTGGTCGGTCCGCAGTCCGTAGTGGCAATTAGTCTCACTCCTGTCCGGGTACCGGAAGACAATTTTCGCGCACAGCCTACACGTGTTCATTTGATGATAATGATTTATGTACAACGGTCTCTAATCAACGTATGTCGAATGTATGAAAAACGTGGTTTTCGTCGATATGTCCTTAAAAAGCCGCTTCTTTAGTAGCTATCCTGAGACCTTGGATTTCTGTGCCGATCATGCTGCACGGAGCCTGAGTCAATCGAATCGATCGCTGTAACGCGCGACATCGAATCACGGTGTCCGGTCGTAGTGATACCGGAAACAAATGCGTTAAATATTTTTTTCAGTCATGCATACATTGAATTATTTAGATGTTGTGATTGTTACATTGAAAAACAAATTGGGTTAATGTCCAAGAATCCCTCGACGTACGATACACAGTACGTTTTGAACATTTCAGCGAACGCAAGAAAAAATATCGGGGATAGGGGAGGGTTTTTTAAATATAAGTAAAATGTTAACAGTACCACGCTTTATTATTCATTATATATACTATTTTATATATATATATATATATATATATATATATATATGTTGATTTAACGATAACCGTGGTCTTATGTACTAAAACAATATTTCTTTTTTTTTTCATTTACATCAATAACAGTTTTAAGTTATAACCAAATTAAATTTATTGTTTGAACATTCTGACTTTCCGTCGCCTTACGTTGACCCCCTGACACGTGACAATCTAATGTTTCAGTTAAAGACTTTGACCTATCGAAGACCGTGTTTGTTTTATTTTTGATGCCGACCTTTGCGTATTGGATCCGTTACATATTGCCAGTGTCACTTCGTATAGTGGATATAGGATTTTAGTACTTTATATTTCGGCTATTTTTCTATTATTATATGTACTAATATTGATTTTTATCTATACTAAGATTACGATATATATCGTGAACGACAATAATTGATTTTTATATTGTTATTTTAATTACCATACCGTGGGTCGATATTGACATCCCTGCGTAGATGTTTACGTTTGTATAGAACTTCGCCATGATAGGTTGCACGTCATTATCGCGATTTATAATAATATACTAATTAAAATGTAATTGCTTGCATGTGCGTAGACACACACATATTCGTATAACTCGAATACGATCGAGACACGATTCGGTAAGGGACGGTGACGCGTGGGCGAACCGACTGTTGTACCGCGTCTTTTATAAAGAGGAAAATACGCGTGCCCTTAAGTTCTTTTGTACTTTTTTGTATTTCAATACAAGGAAGATGATTTATAAATTTATTAATTTATAGATTTTAAACTTCATATTGTTATCGTATAAAATATCACGAATGGTTGACATTCGATACACATTCGTTAAACGTCTCCTAATGAACACACTGTAACAACTGTTGAGAATATCGGATTATAATCATGGGCCTCGACTACTTCGTTGAAAAACGTGAGGGGCGTAGTCGCCCACGTAAACGACGACGATGATGAAAAACAAAACTACACAGCGGTGGAAAGTGTTCTTTTATGTAAGCAAACGGCATACACCTTCTTTTATGTTGTCTCTGATTCGAGATTAGCCGGGGTAAGCGTAACATCATTCGAATGGGAGAGGGACAAAAAAAAAAAAACGTAACAACAACGCCGCACATATAATATTATATTATTATATAAGTTGTATACCAACTTTTAAATACTGATTGATCTAAAACCGTATGAAAGTCATTGCAAATCAAAAAATTTAAATGATACTTACATTATAAATAAACAAAAAAAAGTATAATAAAATAACTCGTCGGACAAAATCTTGGAATATTTTTCTGGACATGTCGCCGAGTCAGATGAACTGTTAATTGATTTTTTTCCGTTACAGCGAATTGTTACTAAACAGTTCGTGTAGTTTTTTTCTTTGGAAGATTATCGATTTATCGAGAATCCATACGGTATTAATTAGTTTTAGTGCGGTGAATATTTTTTCGATACTAGTGTACGTCGTTGCACTTTAGAGGTCATGTATTTCTATAACTCAGTGCACCCCGCAGTGTGTGCGTGTATTACCCGTCAGTCAATCTTGAGAGTAGCCGATATAAGTCGACCTCTGAACACTGATATAATGTACCGGCGGGGTTTTTCGAAATAATATACTTACATTTCATCCCTGCACGAGCAATAGGCTATGGACCCCGGACAAGAGTATCAGATCGCGGGTGACCGAAGTGATTTTTATTCGCTTTTATAATATCATCAAAATAATAATTTTAATATTCTTTTTTTTTTTTTTTTTTTTTTTTTTTTATGGAGTTAGGGTACTTGACATTATTCGTGTACGCGTCGCTTGTTTTCACATGCTATTAAAACGTTCGATTTCGTCGTGTTCGCAGGTTAATGTCGTTCATCATTCACGGGGTGAAAGTCGGCATATATGATTTTATGGCCGAAGTGGCAACGAACGACAAGTTTTCCGGTCTATACATCAGCAAGTATGGGGACGGCGGAAAGCTGCAGCAGCATCAGCAACAGCAACAGCAGCAACAGCAACAACATCAACACGAGCAGCAGCATCAGCACGAGCAGCACTCTCGGGATGACGGCTGCTGCGGCGCGGCCGTCGGCTACGAGAACCTGGACTCATACATTGAGTGCGCCGACTCGTTGGCCAAATGCGGCCGGGTGTGCGAGTCGCTGGACCTGTACGCCCGGTGCTTCCGGTTGGGCCCACTGCCAGCCAGCTTTCTGTGGCACGTGACGTCCGCGTTCCTCGAACTCATCCGGCTGCAGGTCTCCGACGGCCACCCCACGGGCCCGGCCGCGTCGTCGCAACAGTGCCCGACCCCTGCGCACCAGTCCTCGTTGACGTCGCACCGCGGCCATCAGCCGCATGACCCGCGGACCGGTCCGTTCGAGTGCGGCGCTTGCGGCATGGTGCTTCGGGACCCGGTCACGTTGCTGTGTGGCCACACGTTTTGCCGCCGGTGTGCAGTCGGTGGCAAGCCGCTGGTGTGCCACAGGTGCGGCCTGTCCACGCCGTATCAGCCGCACTCGAACGTGCTGGTCAAGTCGCTGGTCGAGAAACTTTGGTCGGTGCATTTACGCTCCTCCGAGCTGTTAGACGAGGGTAAGGCGCTGTACAGACAGGAAAAATTCCACTTGGCTTTGATCAAGTTCAACCAGGCGTATTACACAGGTACGCAATGATTATTATAGTATATACCAAATATATTTTTATTCATCATCTAACCGGGTCGGTGAAAATGTCCACGTTGTATATGTTTGGAAAAAATTTGCCCTCGTACAAAATTTTAGAGAACAATCAAATTTTGAATTATTTACTATGTTGCTGTTTGGGTTTTAATAGCCACTTAAAATACCCTAATAGAAACTGTTTATCATGATAAAATAATATAAATAATTATTAAATCAATCGTTTTGTCATAGCCGTTAAAATCGTAACTTAGGCATTTAAATGTATATTAATTTTACCCGATTAAAATGGGTAAAAATTAATCTTGTGTTCGAAAATTAAGTATTGTAGCTCATTTAAAAAAAAACGCTTGCTCGAAGAAATATTATATTATTCGAGGCTTTTCTGGGATTTGCCATACGATTTAGGTATTTTGATAAGAGTAAAATATCATTAAAATACCCTTTGAGTCTATAATTTCTGATTTACTGCTCTTTTTCATGCATTTTCTGGTGTACTATTTGAAAAAGTGTTGACAGTAAAAAATATAAAAACAATCAGTCCATGTTTCATTTCGTTCAACATTTTGAATACGAGTATTATTGAATAGAATGTAACTACATCTGTACCATGACTATCTTCCATGGCGTCCTTGATGAATTTTATTTTGGCACATATTTCATACAAAAGAACCAATTTTTATTCTACTCAAATGTGCCCCTTTACTTTATTGCGCCCTTGGGCACCGCCTAATTCACCAACCTTCAACTACGCCACTGGACCACATATGAGTATATAACAAAAAATTTGATTCAACCAGTAACTGGTTAAAAAACAAATTCACCTTGTATTCGTGTATAGAATTAAGGTTCTTACATAGTTATGGTTATACAATGTTATGCAGTGAAATTAAATCATTCGTAAAAAAATAATAGTACCGTAACATCTCCTTATATACATAAGCTATTTCAATCGATACTATTTTTATCGATAACCTATTGTTGCGTGATAATTAATTTAATTAAAAAAATATTTTACTTTTGAAAAGGCCTTAGATAAAATTATTATTATTCTGAATTATCTTTATGAAAAATAATATTTCGTACGTTAATTGGGTTGATTTGGTGATTACAACCTTGGAACAAAATTGGACTTATGGAATTGTTCAGAGGTAATCAACAAATAATAATACTTGACATATGATGGTATATGTGATCGAACTTTTTTTGAGACATCACCTGTTATTTACTAATCAAGTAAAGACGTTAGTGTCAAAGAGATTACAATATTTTTTTTGTCAGGTAAAAAGGTTATTGATGTAAGAAGCTTAAATTTAGCTCGACATATTATGCTGTTATAAAAATAAAAATAACATGTGGTTTCTAGTTGAAATTATAAAAAATAAAAAAACATGATCAATTCATTTTTAATGATTATGAACCATATTTGTAACTAATCAAAAATGCCTCATTAATATCACATTAATATACTCATAAACCCACATTTAATATTCTTCTATCTAATCCATTTAGATACATGACAGTTTTCATTAATCGTGTGCACTATGCACGTATAACAATATATCGTGATGTAAATTTAAATAACTAAAATTTTGATGTGGTGCAATTCCGCACACCCATGGCTGGAAATTCCATGGAAATTGCACAACCTATCTACATTTGTATGTACTATAAGCGTTAGTGTGTCGGCATGTGATCTAGTTGTGGTTAGGTTATCCTTTTTCTTTTTTCGGGGGAGGAGAAGTCAAAGTCCTTTAGGGTTATTAGATCATCCATTATCAAATGATCATACCTTTTTATCTTTACCACTGTTTGGTTATTGGAATAAAATAAATTATCAACGTTTTATAAATTAAGTTACTACCTACATAATGTCATACAATTTCACTTAAGTTATAGGTACTTATAAATAAAAAGAAAAATCCGAGGGGATTGGGCAATCTACAAGATAACAGTCACTTATTAAGCACAAGATTTTACATTTGATAAAAAAAAAAATGTTGCTGCGTTACGTTTCGTCTGTATTTTGGTGTATGTTAAAATACCAAAAATATACATTTAAATTGTTCGCGTTCATTCCTGCTCGTGACCTAATTTTCGACGATCTTCGTGTTCTGTTTTTATACAGTCGAATGGTTCCAGAAGTAGGTCCACGTGCCATTTGAATGACACCGGTGACCCGTTTTTGTAACATGTGCTAATAATAGGCGTATAAAATATCGTATCTACCGCTCACTCGTATCGCGGGCTATTTGTATACGTATAACGCAACCATGGAGCACGAGCATACCAAAAAAAGCCAGCGGCTTAGATTCGTGATGTCTTGTAATTCAATTTAATTTTTAAATCTTTGAATTTCAGTATCGCAGCGAAAAACAATGAATAACGGTTTAAGCAAATTTGGTTAGTTAATCTTACGATCAAAAATAAGTATATGAATAAAAATAAAATGAAGTTTATGCATATTTACGAGGATAAGATGTGTAACTAACATATTTATTGATTTACTCACTCATTCATATGATATATAATATAGACCAAAGTATAAATACTATATTCCCATAAATGTCATGATTTCGAACGTGGATGTCAGGAATACTTTTATTTTACGTTCAGAATATTCTGATATTTTTTTCGGAACATCTGATAATTTAAATGTTTACGAAGTAACAATATTGATTTGTTGTCGAATGACGTCAAACTAACTACGTAGCTCTTTCGTCACATAACTATTAATGTTTCCGTTGTTACTTATCACTCATAAGTATTAAAAATTTTAAAGTCTATTGGGTATCTAAATCACTAAAAATTTTTATAACTGAAAAACAAAAATTAACATTTTAATTGAAATACATACTGCGTTTATGATGTTGATTGAAAATATCGTTCGGTATTTATAAAATATTAATAATATGCTCGTAATATCAATTTCAAGACAAATAAATCATTAACAATTATGAATTTTTTGTATATAATTTTCTGTATATTTTATACAAAATAAATATATTTATTTATTTTTATTTTGTATGTTTATTAATGTTTATTTTTTATAATTTTCTGTATATTTTCTGTATTATATTATCAATCGATGTCATTATGGTAAAATATTTATTTTTCATATGATACTGTAACGTGTTCGGGGGTAAATAATCATGTAACAATCGTTACAATACAGTCAATAAATTTGGATATTTTAATTTGTTTTAACGTAAGTTAACTTCAACAATAGTAAATGTCATCCGTAGATCAACGCGGAATTTAAATCACCATTTAAACACGATTAATGATCAACATTTTTGTGCATGTCAATTATTTTCGTATTCAGTATATGTGACACTACATTGTGTATTTACAAATGTATTACCTTTACGAATATTTACATCGTGCACGTCAATGAATCGTTGACGTTTGTAATAATATTCATAATCGTTTTTTTTTTCGGCCGTAGGCAAATGCAGTACCCATCGTAACTTCGTTGAAATTTTTTACTGTTCACATTCGTTTACAATTTTACTCGAGTTTAAAATAATATGTACATGAGAAACTGATGTGATTCAATGATCTTAACCGATATGGAATCAAACATATGCAATAGTTGTGTTTGCGAATAGGTAGGTTGTTTGTACATAAATAGCATATTATACACGTATAATACGTGTACATACGAGTACACATATCGTTTATTTCGAAGTTATTATAATGTTATATACCTCTAACTATACTTATCGTAACGTTTATTATTACATAAAACATATTACATCTACCCAGACGTTTTCATACATCGTATTTGGTTGTTTTCACTATAATATTGTATATTATGCACTACAAGTGAAGTATGTGCATATTTATACATGTGTGCGTTTACTGTATCGGAAAACAATAATTACTCTATAAACGAAGCCGAATCAGACCACTGCATACCACTCAATACTTCTCGGCATTATGTAATGGTGGTGACGATTGTGAGCAGGGGTGGATTTAACAATTTTACTACCCTATGCAAAATTTAATTTGCTGCTCTAATCCGGAAAAAAATAGCTTCTATGTAATAAAATATCTTTAAATACATTTTTTCTCTCAATATATAATATGCAATTATTTTCTAATTTAAGTTAATTAAAAAAAAATACGGCCGCATATTTCACTGTGCCTTAAATCTGCCCCTGATTGTGAGCGTGCGCTTGTGTCATTTTAATATACTATTCGCACACCATTTCTGTACACTGTGTACAGTATATCTATGAATTTCATACTATCTCGACAAAGGTGGACCCTCAACCTATAACCACGGTTCGATCGGAGGTGTTGGGAATCAAAAGTTAAAAAATAACTAAATAATAATACAATATTAATAAAATATTACGATTATTTCTGAGCGCGTAAAACGGTTTTAGCATACGCGTTTACTACGAATCCCTGTCTTTGCCCTCTCCGTCTACCAGGAGTATGCGGTGAACGCGTAGGAATTTTATAATTATAATATCGCACGCCGCCGTTGTCGCTTCGCAAATATTCCATACGGACTATGAATGTTCAATAGTATTGAAATAATTATATTTATCAATATATATGCAAGTATTGTTTGTACCGAACACTGATATGTAAATAAATGTTTGTAGCCCATGACGTTCCTGTAGTGACGTATTTGAATTAATTCTATGGGTGAGGGAAGGGCGGCGAATAAAAACTTAATTAAGAAGGGTGAGGTCTATATTTAAAAAATCCTAGATGTGCCCTAGGAGTTAAAACAACATTTATTGCACTTAATAAAGCCTTTATTATAAAGGTACTTATTTTAAAACGTATATAGGTACATCATTTTTAAGAACTTCCTAAACATTTTTAGGTCTTGAACACATAAAAAAAGTATACATCATACATAAGGTACTTAAAAATAATATTTATTTAAAATAATAATCAAAAATAGGTAATCTAGTTAAATAATAAATCTTTGTAGAGAAAATTAATAAAGTTTCTTTGTAG